ATTTTGGTGGCCTAACATGCTTGACGATGTGAAGAGGTATGTGGAGACCTGTCAGGTCTGTCAGCGGGACAAGCCGCGGACTCAAGCTCCACTTGGGTTACTCAAGCCTTTACCCATTCCTGCTGGCCCAGGGCAGAGTATCTCCATGGATTTCATGGATTCTCTTGTGACCAGCAAGAATGGCAAGAGGCACATCTTCATCATAGTGGATAGGTTCACTAAGTACGCTAGACTAATCGCCATGCCAGAGACTGCCAGGATTGAGCACGTCATCAAGTTGTTCATGGACAACTGGGTGTGTGATTTTGGATTACCTAAGACTATCATTAGCGATAGAGATGTTTGTTTCACTAGTGAGATGTGGAAACAGACCGCTGAACCGATGGGTAGCCAGCCTCAGATGACTTTTGGGAATCATCCCGAAGCAAATGAGCAGGCTGAACAGATGAACCGAGTGGTGCAGCATCTGCTGAGGCATTACATCAAGCCCAGCCAGGATGACTGGGATGAGAAGTTGCCTCTCGTCGCCAGTCTGTACAACAATGCTGTACACAGCACCATCGGTGTCAGTCCTAATCAGCTACATCTCGGATGGAAGCCTAGATCCGCTCTAGACTACCTCCTGCCTGAAAACCGAACTGCTGCAACTCCTGGAACCATTGAATTTTGGTGTCCAGTATGAGAAACTGTTGTAGAAGACTGTCGAGCATATCAAGAAATCTCAAGAAGCCATGATTGCTTCTGAGAACAAGCATCGTCGACAGTCCACATTTCAGGTAGGGGAACGTGTCTGGGTCAAGGCTAGTGAACTGGGACAGGAGTTTGGCATCTCTAGGAAACTAATGCCTTAGTATTTCGGCCCCTGGGAAGTCCTGGATATCGTGGGGAATGATTTGGATGGTCCCTCGTACGTTATTTGTATCCCTGGTCACTTACACACTTGCCCTGTTTTCCACGCTTCCAAACTTGCACCTTTCGCTGAGACAGCACAGTTCCCATCAAGGAGATCTATGCTGCCCCCAACCATGGATGGTCACGTGGACGTCGACGACATCCTGGATCACAGAGATACGCCTGTTCCTGAGCCACCTGGTAGGGGAAGACCTCCCAAACCTGCGAGGGAATACAAAGTACATTTCAGGCATCATACAGATCCAAAGGAAGATCGATGGATTTCCAGGGAGGAACTTGTCAAGACAGCTCCTCAGATCGTGGCCGATTATGAGAAAAGACTGAAGGGGAAGGCACCAGCATGAAGCATCTCAGCGGACTTTCGAAGCTAAGGGGGATGGAATGTGAGGAACAAGCCCTCAAGTGGCCCTTTCAGACATCACATTGTTCTGGGCCAAGGCCCCAGCAAGCCAAGTGCCCGCCCTAAGTGAAGGCGGGCCTGAATATTCGTCACAGGCCAAATTCGACATTTCCATATGTGGGTATTCAGGCTCTTGCAGCGCGTCGATTGGTTGAATGAACGCGCGAGCCTCACTAAGCTGCGCCGTACAGTTGGCCCAGGCCACGAAAGTTGTGCCTGGGCACCTACACCCAAAGCAGGGCCGATACATTCAAAAGCCGTACAGCCGACGCACCTAACTGGGGGCCCTGTGCAGATGCAGCTAACAGCCCAAGTCCGGAGACTCAGGCCGCGCCCACTGTAAAGGGCCCAGGCCCTCAACTGTAAGTCTCGGCCTGGGCACAGGGGCTGAGGCCCAACCGGAAGCTACTGGAAGCTTCCAGCCAGGCCACACGCAGCATGCAGCAGGCTGCCAGTTCCATAAAGGAAGTGAGGCAGCCCAGGCCAGGGATTCTGGCCAGCRTTAGCTATRCGGAAGTGCTGCTGCGCTCTCGCTTGATGCTGYGCTGCTGCCAAGGGCGCTGACGGAGCGCAAGAGGTGAGGTGGRGCGCTGYAGGGCAGCGGGRCGTAGGCAGCCATAGCCGGGCTGCTGGGCRCCAGGGGGTACAGYGGATGATCGGGTGRTCTTCAGGGAGTGAGGCGCTGTGTGRGATAATCAAGGTCTGATTGAGGGTGACGAGATACGTACCTGGTACATGAAGAGAGGTCRCCGATGGTGTGGACAGTCATGYACMTTGGTCTTCRTGRGCCGAAGTGATCCTGTTGTGTGAACCAGCTGTAGCGTAGGATAGTATGGTAGAGTAGGCTGGGCGCTGTGCGCCAGACAGAGAGAGCGACTCTGGATACTGTGTTGGTGTGGCCTACGGGCYTGGACATTGGCTCAATAMTTCATTGTATTGCTCTTTATGGATRGTTTTCTCRGWGCATTTGTACTCTCTACTTGGGATACTACTACTTGCTCAGCTGTGTGATTTCGCAACTTGGTTTTATGTATATCGCTCACACTCATATTCCTTGCAAATAATAATAATAAAAATAAATAAAAATAAAAAGAGAATTAAATTTAGTGAGTGCGCGAGCATGTTTTCGAAACCACCATCTTTGGCAATTTTTCATTTTTTTTTGGTATAGCTAAATGCCCTGAAAATTTACAGATGTGTACTTCACATAATACAAAACCCACTAAAAAAGTTTAAAAAAATAATAAAATTGTTTAGACCCCAAACTAAAGTGAAAACAAAAAGTAAAAAGTGAAAAAATAGTAAAAATTCGTGGGGAGCACGTTTTGACACCGCCATCTTTGGCGATTTTTAATTCTTATTTGGCTTAGCCAAATGACTTGAAAATTTACAGGCATGTACCTCACGTCATAGAGAACTCACAGAAAAAAATTCAGAAAAAAATAGTTATTTTTAGGCCCCGAAATAATTTTTGGCGGGGGCCGAACGCCGTCGGGTTCGGACTCCGTACGGGACACCGAACGCCCGTACGTACGGAGGTCTGCCCGGGGACCTCTGTACGTACGGGCTGGTGACCCTGTATATATATTTTTATTTATTTATTTATTTATTTTATTCTAAATTTGGTGAAGAATTTTGATGTGACCCTGAGACAAAAGTTGTTCAGTTTATTTTTCTGCATAACACAGTTTGTTTTTCGGATTTTCTGGAATTTTTTTTTTTCTCTTTTTGCCGGGACCTTCCCTGGTCCTTGCACGGCCTGGCCACCCGGGACCCGGGCTGCCCGGCTGGTAGCCTAGCTTTTTCCTTTTTTCCCTTGCTTTTCTCTTATCAAATGCTTTCCATTTTCGACCTGAACAATCGGTTTGTGGGAGTGAGCTGCTGTAGCCATAAGAGTGGGCCCGAGGGTGGCAAGTGTCAGAGCTTAATCGGGATAGGAGTGCCAACGGGTCGCAGTCAGATTAGTGTTCAGGTTTCGGGTAGTAGAGTAGTAGGCTACAATTAGGATATAAGTTACTTGACTAATGACTAATGACAGTTAAGTAGTTAACTACTCTACTACCTAGTTACCTAAATAACTGGGTAGTGTAATGGAGTGGACGACCGTTGCTAGGGCCGACAACATGACCCGTAAGGAGCTCCTTGTTGCGCGAACTAGACAGATTGTGTATGGCTATGAAACCATTTGAGCCTGCTTAAGCGCGTGAGCGCAAGCTTAAGCACGCGCTAGTGGTAGGATCGTACTTATAGGCCACCTGAGTTCAGGCCTCACCTAGGCAGGTTATAGGCCTGTGTACGAGTTAGTTAACTATCTTACTACCTAGTTAGTTAACTAACAAGCGAGGGTAGTATAGGCCTGGGTTCAGGCCTACCTAGGTAGGTTATAGGCCTGTGTATAGTTAAATAACTAATGTCGGTAATAGGCAGTGAGTCAGGCAGTTGAAGAGGGTTATTGTTACAAGCTCGGCCTGCACACGGGCCCCATTTTGGGCGGCCCGACGGTTGCTGGGGCCCCCCAGGTCGCATGCCCTTCGGACATGCGCCCTGGAGGCCCACGGCCGGCCTTAGGCCCGCTGTCCTATTTTTGTCTGTTCAGGCGTCGTTTCGGACTTGCAGTTCGAACAGACTTTCGGTCTGTTCGGACAAAGGCCACATTTTGGGCCTTGGACGTACGCAGGCAGGGCCTTCCGGGCCAGGTCCGTTTTTGTCGAGTTGCGGACACTCCCTGCTGCATCAGCAGGGAGGGCCTGGACGTCCGGTAGGGGCCCAGGCAGGCACCTTTTCGCCTAGGACCAGAGGCACACAGGGGCACACCCACGAGACCCAGCGCTACCTATAGCTCGGCCACGCCAGGGCACACACACAGTTCGAGTAGCTCGCTTCTTGGGCGACCCGCTGCTGGAGAAGCATTGCAGCGTTACAGCGCTATGTTGGAGGTAGAGGTAGAGGTGTAGGTAGGCAGAGGGGCGGAGGCCATACCTGCGTCGGCGAAGCTCCTACCTGGGCGGCATAGCTGGTCTTCACACCAGCGCACCTGCAGCACAGAGAAGACACGCGGCGATAGTTACCTGCGGGTGAGATAGCGAGGAGGACGACATCTTCTTCTTCTTCTTCTCTCGCCCTCCATCTCTCCTCCCTCCTCCTTCCCTGTTCTTCCTCCTCCTCTTCTTCTTCTTCTTCTTCTTCTTCTTCGTCTTCAGAGAGAGAGAGGTTACAGACAGAGGTTACATCGGGCATGAGGCCCAGGATCTGATTCGACATTTTTGTGGCAGACATTGATTGGACATTCGGCAGGGAGACTATTTTTGGACTTCGCTATCGCGATCTTGGTCTTCTCCCTCACCTCCATCTTCGTCTCACCTCTCCCCCCATCTCTCATATGTGCTATCTCCCCCATGTGTGTGTGCAAGGAGGGACCTTTCGTCTGTGTATGCGGTCCCTACTCCTTCTCTCATATGTGTGGTGTATGATGGGATGTTGCGTCAGTCTCTGATAGGTCAGGTCATATCTTTGAGTCTTCCGTTGTGCTACATTTTGCTATTTTTGTAGGTATCTGGATGTGCATTGCTTGTTGATGCTTTGCTGACACTGTATTGTCCCTTCGAGTCCTTCTCATCACTCAGCGGATCCTTGGCTCCACATACATTGCTCAACTGATCATGTATCAGTTATTGACAGTGCGTCTGACCTCAGTTCACCCATTTTATTGTACTCCAGGTGTTTTAGAAAAGAGAGTTTGAAATTCAACCATAGTAACCCCAATAAAAAGCAGATGATGAAAGACCAAAGGTGACCACAAAATGACCTAGCTGTCCCCCGATAAGGAGAAGACTTTTTTTGTTTTTTTGGGGGGGGAGGGGGAAGGAAAAGGAAAAGAAAAGAAAAAGATTTAGAGTTCTCACCCTCCAGGCGAGTAAATCTTGAGTGATATTCTGAACTTCAGCCAGAGCAGGGGGTTGGTGAAGGTCACAGTGACCCATGTGTAGCCATCTGAAGATTCACATACCCACAGAGCCCCCCCCCCCCCCCCCCCCCCCCCCGCCCCAAACCCCCACAAAAATACAAAAAGAAAGAAGAAGCCAGAAGAACAAGCAAAACTGTTAGCACAAATTTGAAAAGGAAACTGAGATTGCCAAACAATGCAACTTTTATCTTCCTCCTTTTTTTTTTTCTTTTTTTTTTTTCTTTGTCAGTTTCGAAGCTAGACTACCAGAGTGGGCCGGGACCACTTGCCCGACCAGGCCCCAAAAAAAAAACAAAAAACAAAAAATTAATTTTTAATTTGATTTATTATTTGAATTTATTAAATTTTATTTCGAATTTGGTAAAGAATTTCGATGTGACCCTGAGGCAAAGGTGTTCAGTTTATTTTTCTGCATAACATAGTTTTTTCCAGATTTTTATATTTTTTTTTGCTGGGTAATTTATTAAGGTAACCCGGGCGGCCCGGCTGGTAGCCCAGTTTCAAAGTGAATTTAATAATTTTAATCTAAGGGCCGTTCACCATTGGAGCATGCAAACGTACCTTTGTCTGTGGAAAATTGAATAGCTTTGACAGACTCCAGTTTTGCTCTGCAGTCCTCCGCTTCTTGCATAGACGCTGTTGCTGCGTGTACTCTTTTCCGGATTAGCTGTCCGAACATTGTGCCCATACAAAAAAGATAAACAGAAAAAGAAAACGATCAACGGCATTACAACAAAAAATGAGCAAGATTGGCAACGAGGGAAAAATGAACAGAAAAGAAATGAAAGCTGAATCTCATAACTTGAGAAAAAAGCAAATGATAAAATGGGAAGGGAGATCATTCTCAGGGCAAAGTCACACTATAACTTTCTCTACTAAGCTCTGGACAATATTGCGGTCAGATTCATCCAGATCTGGCTGTCAGTGAAGTCCGATACGTATAGCAAAGAACTAGCACGAGTATGCCCTCAGGAAGAGAAAGACGAACTTCTGACAAAATGCTCGGAGTCCGGAGGAGGAGCCTGTAAACGATTCCAGCGCCCTCCCTTACAGGCCCGACATCCCACGAGGGATGTTCCTCTTCGCAACAACCCAAATAGCGATAACAGCACACGACGACTGGCCGGTGAATGCGTGAAATTGAACCACCTGTACTCGAGCAAGGTGCGCCCATCAATGCGCCAGTCTTTCACGGATGCACAGGCCTGCCTGCGGCCAGTTGTATTTGAATACTTCAGAGACACACAGAGGGCGTCCTGGTACTCGAGCACGACGAGACTGTTGGTCTGTGCATGCTTGGAGCGAAGTTCCCAGTCTCTTCCTACCAATGGCCACCTTAGGGTAGAGGTCACCGTAAGGGGGAGTCAGGACTTCTTTTTCACAACAAATACTTTGTAGTATTGTTGACATCATCAGCTCGTTACAGCCAAAGTGAGAGATGATGGTAGCCTGCTAGACTCCCAGCCGGGCCGGCCGGATTACCTTGTTTTCCCAGGCGGCCCGACCATGCAAGGACCAGGGAATGTCCCAGCAAAAAAAAAAAAAAAAGACAGAGTGAGTGATGGTAGCCTGCTGGGCTCGCCAGCTGGGTCAGCCGGACTATCTTGTTTTCCCGGGCGGCCCGGCCGTGCAAGGACCAGGGAGGGTCCCCACAAAAAAAGAAAAAAAAAGACAGAGTGAGTGATGGTAGCCTGCTAGGCTCCCCAGCCGGGTCAGCCGGACTATCTTGTTTTCCCGGGCGGCCCGGCCGTGCAAGGACCAGGGAAGGTCCCGGCAAAAAACAAAAAAGTTGAAAAAACACAAATCCAAAAAATCCGAAAAAAAAACTATGTTATACAGAGAAATGAACTGAACAGCTTTTGCCTCAGGGTCACATCGAAATTTTTTACTAAATATAAAATAAAAAATCAAATTGACGCGCGCACGGGCCCAGCCACCCACCCACCCACACACGCATGCATGCACACGCGTGCGCCCACCCACCCAGACACACACACATGGGTGGGTGGATGGGCGGACTACGGACGGAAAACAATGACAGCGGGAAAACAAAAGGAGCCGCAAGCAAAAGGGAAAACGAAAAAACAAAAAGGAGGGGGACAACACCATGGCCGCACGGGCATGGGTGCGTGTGTGTGGGTGGGTGGGCACGCGCACATGCGTGCGTGCGTGGGTGGCTGGCTGGCTGGGCCGGCGGCGCGCATGCGTCCGTATTTAGTATTTACCATCAAATATATATATATTAAAGCCCCACGGGGCAATTGGTCCCGGGCCACTCTGATAGCCTAGGTAGCCTGTCAATTTATCAATCGCAAAAAAGAGCGCTCTTCTTAAACTGCCCAGCTCATTTCCCAGCAATTTTTCTACGATGCGTCTGCATGCGCGCCTCGTCTGACCTGCGTGCTGCTTCGCAAATAATACATCCATGCAAATCACCTGCATGCAAGGCCCGTTTTGCGGCTTTTGCCAGTATCTATTTTTCGGGAAAGGGCAGGCCCGTACATCCCGCCAGACACAGCGCGCATGCAGCCACGTCATAGAAAAATTGCTGGGAACTGAGCTCGCTGTTTAAACTTTAAACTTTAAACCACCACTACCTTTCCAAGCTCTAGCTACAGTACTGCGATGGTCCGTCAATAATGTACTTAACCCGGAGCAGGAAGGCAACGCAAATCGCCTGCATGCAAGGCCCGTTTTGCCTGATCTATTTTTCGGGAAAGGGCACGCTGGTGGATCCCGCCAGACATGGCGCGCATGTAGCCGCGTCATAGACAAATTGCCGGGAACTGAGCTCGCTGTTTAAACTTTACGCCACCACTACCTTTCCCAGCTCTAGCTACAGTACTGCGATGGTCCGTCAATAATGTATTTAACCCGGAGCAGGAAGGCCCGCACATCCCACCCCACACCCAATTTGTATACAAATGCAACTTTCAGAGGTACCAGTGGCTCAAATTACCCCAAGAAAAAAGAAACGAAGGGCGACCGGCTTGAGGTATCATCATTGATCTGACCGGCCTCGGGTAATTCAAAGTTCATTCATGATTCATCTGCATTTCTATCAGGATTTGAACTTAGGTCTGTTTATCAATTATCAACAGTTCATGAATGTACCCTTCAGCCACATGGGCCGGGTAAGTCCAGAAAAAGAAATGTTGTCTCAGACAAGTAACTGCCTAGCCAAGTGTCCGAGGGCAGTGGAAAACTAAATCAATTTCTTTTTCTTTTTTTTTTCCCAAAAAAGAGATTAATACAAGCCGGGAAATGGGCCAAATACAGGTCCTTGTAGTCCTGGCTCAGTGGCTCCTTGTCCATTCTGGGGAGTGCCGACACTCCCGCCATAACACAGACTGAGAACACTGCTGATTTCTGAAGTTCTGCCGATGGAATGGATGCCTTGCTGAGATTCCCGCATTCTGCTGAGTTTTCTAAGTCTGTATGTGTGCGTGCTTGTTGACCTGCGTGCCTGTCTGAGTGCTTGTCGGGATGAGTGTGTGTGTGTGACCCTCAAGGGTACTTGCTTGTTTGGGAGGCCCGTAGGGCCGGTACTTACCTGTGGCCGTGATATTGAGGGTTGCAGCAGGGAAAACACTCAAGTAGCGGAGCCAGGGGCCCGCGGCACTTAGAGCAGCGGAAAAACACTCAAGTAGCAGGTAGGCCAGTACCGCACCCTGTAGCAGTAGATGTGCCGGGTACTCGAGGCCGAGCAGGCCCAGTAGCGGTAGGCTAGGCCTAGGCCGGTAGCAGTCCATCCAGTCTGAGTCTAGAGCCTGTACGGGCAATATCAGAGTCTGCAATGATGTTTCCCTCCGAAAGGGAGGAGGTACCGCCTGGAAGTCACCGCCCAGGAGGCAAGTAGGTCGCTACATCAAGAGGCCGAGGAAAGAGCCCGGCCTCATTCTTCAGTGTGCAAGTTTGGTGGCACGCTGTTGGAGCGCTGGCTGGAGGAGCGCTGGGTACTACAGCGCTGCTGGGAGGAAGAAGCCGGGAGCTTCCACCTTAGCTATGGTGGAGCTCTACCGGTAGGAGGAGGAGGAAGAAGAGGACCAAGGAGGGGAGTGGCGAGATACTTACCTGGCTATGGTGGACACCATCTTCATCACCTTGCTAGGCGCTGCATCTGGAAGGCCCCAGTTGGGGTAGTGCCGCATCAAGGAAGCTCGGGACAGAGTCAGGCATGGCGGCCGAATGGGCAGCGGTATAGCTGCCTCGTGTTGACCTTGGGACAGGAGAGCAGCGACATAGCTCCTTTGGGTTGTCGTTTGGACAGGAGGGTAGAGCCCTCAGTACTCCGCCATAGCCTCGGCCCACATGAAGAGGAAGAGGAAGGGTGGCCATGGCTATGGAGGACCTCATGTTGTGCCTGCAGTAGAAATGGGATTTGGACATTGATTCTGGTTCAGCCATTCAACATTATTATTGTTATTTCTTGTTTGAATAAGAGGGAAGGAGATAAGGAGAAGGAGATTGGTTGGCGAAGAAGAAGAGCATTATCTTTGGTCTATGCTGGAGTACATCATCTTCTTCTTCTTTCTCACTTCTTTTCCTTCTTCTTTCCCTCTCTCTCCTCTCAAGTCCATTCATTTCTTTTTGCAATTGGAGTCATTATTGGACGGCATTGTACTTTCTGATGAATGTATACTTCGAAATTGGCCAGGATCGTAACAACAGGAAAAAAAAAAAGACTTGAAAAAAGATACGACATACAACCACAAACGCTTCCTTCCGTTTGGCCACAGGATCCCTGAGAAAGTTTGTGCTCATAATCATCCCCATACATTCAGAATGTTGGACTCTTTCGGATGCACCTGGTCCACAAAGCATCCAAATGCACGTGGAATGTCAAGTAGTGAAGCGAGCCCCATACACGCATAAACGCTTCGTGCCGTTTGGCCACAGGATCCCCGAACATATTGGTGCTCATTATCGTCTCCATACATTCAAAATGTTGGACTCGTTTGTATGCACCTGGCCCACAAAACATCCAAATGCATGTGGAACGTTGAGTGGTGGAGCGAGCCCCATACACCCACAAACGCTTTCACAGGATCCCTGAGAAAGTTGGTGATGACGGAGTGGTGGTTCCTCCGCTGCTCGCTTGATACACAAACAAACTCAAGAGTACCCTCACACTACCGTCTTCACCCGAATAGAACATACGTTGTACGGCCATTATATCTGTATTTGGCCCAACTTTCAGTCCAGATGCAGCAAAAATGACGGTTGCAACGAAAATGAGCGAGAGTGATAGACAGAAAACCAAATTGCAATATCACGCTGAAGACCAGATAGTCATGTACCAAGCAGAAAGCACAATGCACCGATATACAAGCCAAATAAGAGCAATACAATGAACTCAAACGTCAATGTTGGCCCTCTCTCGCCATCACCAACATTGTATCCAATGTTGTCCTTCTTGATTGGTGCTCAGCGCCCAGCCTATCCTACTCAGCACTTATCTAGCCTACCACTACGACATACACATGCAACACGAGTCACTTCAAGCTGAAGACCAATGTATGTGACGAAGCCACCAATGCGGATTGCCGCATACACCAGGTATGTGCTCTCTTCACCCTCAACTTCACCCCCTTCTCTCATACAGTTTGTGTCATCTACCCCGAAGACCACCATCGCCCATACCAGCCTGCGCGCAGCCAGCCAGGCTATGGCTGTTGTGCGCCCACTGCCACCGCAGCGCCCCTCAACGCTTGAGCCCGTGTGTGCCCTCCAGCCTCCACCGCCCAGCGTCTCCCAGCGCTCAGTGCAGCAGCGGTCAGTGCAGCAGCGCTCAGAGCAGCAGCGCTGACGCCCCGATGCATGAGGCCCGAATGCCCCCTGCCCAGGTTCTCACTTTCCTTTATGGAAAGTGAGCTCTGCCTTTGTGAGCCCTGGGCCTGGCGGACCGTGTTTCCAGTAGCTTCCAGTCGGGCCCCAGCATCTGCGCCCAGGCCCAATGCAGAGAGTGGCCTGCGCCCACAAGAGTTAAGCAGCCCAACTGTGCAACGCGGCCAGCGTCATATGCTGCAATCGTATTGGCCAAGAGACCCTGGGCCACATCGCAGCTGAGAAGAGCCCAGAGACTCAGGTTACCGTGTTCACACTGGCATGGGCTTTGCAACCAACTGGCGCGTGGAATTGTCTGGCGCCCCAACATGCAGAAATGACAAAACTAAGGCCTCATGACAAAATGCAGGCCCGTCTTCACTTAGGGCGGGCACGAGGCTTGCTGGGGGGGGCTCGTCTATCGGGTGCTGCGGCCAGAAAGGCCACTGCAAGGGCCGATTCCTCGCAATACGTTCTATTCGGATGAAGACAGCAGGCCCTTAAAATCGCAGAATCGCTAATTCAGCAGCCAGATTGTGTCCTCCTTTTCGAAGGACTCAACCAGGCCGCCGATTTTGCGATTCGCCGATTATAAGCGCCTAGTGTGAGTATGCCTTCAGTTCCTTCTTCCGATCCTACTCAAACATCTATTTTCCTCTCCTTTCCCCTCTTTTTTTTCTCGCTCTCCTTTCCTCTTTTTTTAAAAACGGTGTCTGCCTTTAGATAGCATCATTAAACTGACCGGCCCCCAGGCAATTCAGAATGAGTTTATTTTCCTTCATCTGAAGGTATATCTGGTTTCAAACTCGGGTCTGTACTTCAACAATTCAGGGAGACTAATGACCCTAAAAAACCCTGAAAGTTTAGGGCTCTGTTAACCATCTCTCCTAATGAATGGGTTTTGAGGAATATCCCGCATTTGCCACGTACATGAAAAGCATCTTTGAAGTTTCCGTATGTTCCTGCGGCATATCTTTCTCTGAATGGACTCAGCAGAGCTGCGCAGAGAACTTCTCCTCCCATCATGGCGTACGTCTGCTGTGCACAAGAATACCACCAATTTGAAACAGGTAGCAAGACAAAAGAAGATAATAAGGGAACCAGCTTGGTTATACTATCATGTGCACGCGTAGATGCTGATCCACGAGCTTGATGCGTGTTTGAAGCATACTTGCGGTGCATCGACGTGCGCTGCACCGCGCACACGCGCCGCACTGCGCACACCGCACGACGCGCGCGCACGGGGTGCGGCGCACCCCAAAAATAAGGGGTCGAGGAAAAAAAAAAAGTTGGGGAGGGTTGTTTTAGACCCGAGTGGGATGTCGCGTCATAAACCACAAAAAAAATTGACAAAAATTTGAGGCCGCGCAGGGCCTCCGAAAAAGAAAAGGGGGGAAGTTCGTTTTTTTGTTTGTGTGTGTGTGTGTGTGTGTGTGTGTGTGTGTGTGTGTGTGT